AAAAAATTCGATCATGGATTACAAAAAATTCTATCATGGGTTACAAAAAACAAAAAATTCGATCATGGATTACAAAAAACAAAAACAATTCGATCATGGATTACAAAAAAATCGATCAAGTATTACAAAAAAATCTATCATGGATAACAAAAAAAAAAAATTCCCGACAGGACTCCCCGATTCACTGTTTGGACTCGCCGATTCCGTTCAGTGAATCGGCGAGTCATTGTATAGAATCGTCCGGTTCTCTCTAGAACCGGACGATTTCCGATTTTTAGCCGCTACGATCCACTTTTTCCGATTTTCGAGTCGAACCGGGCGAGTCCGGTTCAACTCGGCATTTTTTAAAACACTGGTGCAAAGTAAGATGGCATTATTTGAACTCTAAGACCCTGGTCAATGAGAGTCCTCAAACTATCGGTGTTAAATATGACAGCTTTGGGGTGTGTCAAAAAATTCAAGAAATCCTCTTTTAGACTGTGTACCTGGTCAACGACACACCTCCATGCCACTCAATTTTAAATACGATCGGGATTGATTGTGACCTATTTGTATCAAAAACAAATAATTTTAGGAAAAAGTTTATATAAGGTTGCGGCCCTAAAATATAGAATTACAGATGCACCTGAAAAATCCATTAGAAAATGTTGTTTAATGTTGAAAAACCTCTAATTGATCATCTCGACATCTAGATATATGAATATATAAAAAAAAAAAAAAAAAAAAGAAGAAGATTTTGAGTCTCAAAATAGTGTATTTTGCAATACATTATCTAGACTATCCATTTTCAAAAGGTTCATATGTTTATAGATCTATTTGATTTTAACTATTTTTGGAGTACAAAATTTTATAATTTAAATATAAAAATAAATTTTGAGATAATCTTAATATTTTTTAAACCAAAATTACATGTTATGATACAATTTGGAGGTGCACCTTAATTGGATTGTTTAATGTTTCAATCTTATAGAAACTGCATGATAACAAGTGAAATTGTAGAAAATGAATGACATGTAAACTAGTTCATATTATAGCTGCCTTTCGATGAATTTTCATAAATAAAAACTCAAGAGAGATCGAATGAGAGAGAGAGAGGGAGAGTTGCAAAGCAAATCATGGATTTGCTTCATAGAAAGAGAGAGAGAGTAGGTGAAAAGGGTATGCTTTGTATGCTTTCTCTACTATATATATGCCTACTGTATAAAATTTATATGTTTTCTTTATGCAACCGTCCACCTTGAATGGATGGCTGAGATGACTCTAATGATAATGTCACATCTCTACAATTTTTTTTTTTTACAAACTAGTTTGACACCTGTAAAAAAATATAAAAAACAATATTATCATTAAAATAAAATTATCAAAATACTCTTGAAATATTTAAAGGGTTTTTTGGTCATTATATCTTATAAAAATTATTTTCAATCTATACATACCAAATTTCATATTTATATGATTTATAAAAAAAAAACTACAAATAAAATACTCTGAAGCTCGGATATAGATAAAACAGTCAATTACTCCTTTGATCTAAATTGGATGGCTAGAAGGGAAGGAACATATATTTTCTATGCAATAGGGGAAGTATAGTAAGGAAACGGGCTAGGGTCAAGACGGTACAAGCTAGATTTTTATAGCCTAGCAATACAAGTTCGACGTAATCTTGTCAAAAAAAATAAAAAAAATAGAAACCTTAACTAGGTAAAAACAAAGTACGACTCAAGTTCGATGTAACCTTGTCAACAAAAAAAAAAAATAGAAACCTTTGCCAGGTAAATATGGATAAAAACAAACTGAGGGCCTTTGCATGGAGAAAGAATAGGCCACAAATAGCGAGCGAGTGCATGGATTGTTTGGGCGGGTTAAAAGGGCCACGCGTGTGGTGCGTCTCCGCCACGCGCTGCGGCCATCTAAGGCACCTGGTCGAGCCTCGCGCGCCAACGCGAGGCGACGCGTCGACGACCCACCCGCTCAAGAACGCAGACCCTTTACGCATTCCCAAAATTTGGCCTCTATTCTCAACAACTACAATATTTGTGAGGAGTTCAATGAATGATAAATAAATGCAAGTTACTTTGCTTTTCATTGAAAGGGACAAAATCACCCTTCTCCATGCCCTCAACAAGCTTGACAGTAACCATGCTTATATATAAGTAAGGGTGCAGTAATCATGCTTAAATACCTAAGGGTGTGTTTTGTATAACGCTGAGGCCTTAAACAATCAAAATAAGACGCACCTTCAAATAGTATTGAAATATATTGTTTCGGCATCAAAAAATTTTAAGAGTGCCTGAAAATTTATTTTTGATATTTAATTAAATTTAACTATTAAAAAATAATGAAGATCAAGCAGCCCTCAAATATCTTGAAAATTGACAACATAGATAATATATTACAAAATGCAATCCTTCTAATATTTAAAATCCATTTTTTTCTCATGTCCATACATCTTGAAGTTGAGATGATCAAATTGAGAGTTTTTCATCATCCAAACAAGTTCTTGTGATTTTTGAAATACGCTTTAATTTGATTGTTGAAAACCTCACCCTAGAATGAACTTTTACCAATAAGTAATGGTGGTAGAACGTGCAATGGTTTTATCTCAAGAAGATGTATAAGTTCATGGAATTTTCAAAAATGCACTATTGTTTCTTTTGAAGATTTTTTAGTCATTCACGCTATGAGGGGCGGTTGTTTAGGACTCCTAACGAGAAGTAGGACTGGATGTGTATGTGTTCGTCATGTCTGCCTTTTTTTTTTTTTCTTCCACGTCTCTGCATCCCTGGGTTGAGATTGGCTTCTAAATCTGTTTTTTAGAAAATCTGCAACTGATCTCAGTAGTTTCTGAGGGCCGCTATGGGCTCAGATTCTTCCTTTGTTAAGCTCATTCATGTGAAAATTGAAATAATCATAGCTTTTCTTAATTAAACAATAACCTATTTCACTTGCTAATGATCACTAAAAATTGTTCCGAATAGGTGCGTCTCTCTTACAATTAACTTATTTAAAGAGGAATAAATAGGAGCTGAATTGTGATGGGTCTTAATTGAGGTAGAGGGTCATTTTTTGTTATTGACTGAGAATAACATCTATAAAAAGACGGCCCAATTTTTGCACAATTACGTACCTGTAATATGAAATGATCCCATTATATGCGGAAATCACAAGGAAGGTACTACGGTATGAGGATGGGGACATCGGACCACTGTTTTTTTCAGAAAATAATAGAGAATGAGCCATGTGAAGATGGGGACCTCGAATCACTTAGGAACAGAGGACTGCTCAGTCTAGATGGAGGTTCGAGGATTATAGCCGCCGGCCGCCTAAGCACTGCCCCTAAAAAACTTGGGGCATTGCCCTACAATAATTTAAATGTGTTCTGACATCATCTTAAGAGATAATTTAAAAAAATTAACAAATTTTAAAAAATTTAAAAAAACATACGACCCCGAAATTGCCCCCATTTCATATTTTAGGTAAATTTTTCGGTCCGTAAGTAAACCACTCTCAAACAAATGGTTCGGTCGTGTTCCTAGTTTGAAGGGGGAGTTCGGTGATCAGGGTAAACTTCTATTTTTTAATGGGTACCAGGTATTTCGTAAAGTGTCTAAAGACCCAATTTTCGAATTTATTAAAGGGAAAAGTTTATATAGAGCCTAGGCTCTAGACAATCAAATTCGAACCTACCTCAAAATTTTTATTAGAAAATGTTGTTTTGAAGCTCAAATATCATCAAATTGATCATCTTGACATCAACATGCATGGGCATGAGAAAAAATGGATTTCAAGTTTTAGAAATAGTGCATCTTGTAATGCATTTTTGGATTGTCGATTTTCAAGATTTTCATATATTTGCTCCATCTACTCGATTTTTAAAGCTTTAAATTTTATAACTAAAGGTGAAAATATAATTTAAGGCTATCACAAAACTTTTCAATATTTGAAACCATATTTCTCTATACTATTTGAAGGTGGGTCTAATTTGATTGTTTAGAGCCTCGGCCGCACCCATTATTAAAACGAATTGTGTAAGTATTGGAAGTGCGGGTAGATACAGTTAGACGATAAAAGCGGGCAGCTAGGAGCAAAGCTCGCGCCCGCATCCCTGAAGACCAGCTTCACCTCTTTCTCTCTCTATAAGACTCGTAAACGCCATTACGCTATCCCCTCCCCCTTTTGGCATCAAAATCTGTTAAGGCACTCTGTCTTTTTCTTTCTATTTGACAATAATAATCTGAGGAATTGGGAGCCATTGATTGAATTTCTCTCCTCCTCCATGGAAGGCATTGGAGGAGCTGAAATGGAGCTCGCCACCCCAGCAGTGGACTCTGAGACTCACGACCTCCTAAGGCAGCCAATCCAACCCATCTCTGTCAAGGTCCGTCATCTCTCTCGTCTCTGCATTTTGCTCAGACCTCTCTTTCTCTCTCTTACAATTTGCCTCACCCTTTCTCTCTCTTGATCATTCTCCAGTTCGAGGACGTGGTGTACAAGATCAAAGGACCAAACAACAAGGAGAAGGAAAAGTGTTCCCTCCTCCCCCTCGGAGCACGCCAGCCCGATGCAGAGCGAACCATCCTGAAAGGCATCACTGGCGCGGTCCGCCCCGGCGAGATGCTGGCCCTCCTCGGCCCCTCCGGCAGCGGCAAGACCACCTTCCTCTCTGCACTCGGCGGCCGCCTACCCCTTAGCAGCAAGACATCCCCCTTTGCTGCTCTTGGTGGCTGCTGCCCCGGCAAACTCTCGGGCTCCATCAAATACAATGGCCATCACTTCTCGGACTCTATCAATCGCCGGACTGGCTTCGTAACACAGGATGATATCCTCTACCCACACCTGACCGTGTACGAAAGCCTTCTATACACCGCCCTTCTCCGACTTCCAAACACATTGTCCAAAGGTGAGAAGGTTCGGCATGCCGATGCCGTGATATCCGAGCTCGGGCTCTCTGCCTGTAAAACTAGTATTATCGGGGGGCAATTTTTGAGGGGAGTTTCAGGGGGAGAGAAAAAGAGGGTAAGCATTGGACAGGAGATGTTAATAAACCCGAGTCTGCTTTTGTTGGACGAGCCGACGTCCGGGCTGGACTCGACAACGGCCCAAAGGATCGTTTCGACACTGTGGGAGCTGGCCAAGGCAGGGAGGACGGTAGTGATGACGATCCATCAGCCTTCCAGCAGGTTGTTCTACATGTTTCATAAGGTGATCTTGCTGTCTGATGGGCATCCGGTGTATATTGGGCAGGCGTCGACGGCCATGGAGTACTTTGCAGGCATTGGGCACGCCCCGTCGGTCGCTATGAACCCGGCCGATTTCCTCCTCGACCTTGCCAATGGTATCTATCCCCTGAATTCCTCTCTCTCTCTCTCTCTCTCTCTCTGTATTATTTT